TCTTTTTCTTCTTCTTCTTCTTCTTCTTCTTCTTCTTCTTCTTCTTCTTCTTCTTCTTCGTCTTTTTCTACTTCTTCTTCTTCTTCTTCTCATTATCAATATTTGTATTATGATAATCATTAGCATTTTTTATTGATTTATATATTATTTATGTATTTATTTATTCATCTATTTATTTATTTATTTATTATTTAATTGATGGTTCGTTTTTTTTCTTCATTATCATTAATACTGCCCTTAATCCATAATCGTGTAATCGATAAAAATAGACGGTAATTTAAATGATGACACTATAAGGGGTGGGGCGGGGGTGATGAGAAATGGTAGGGGGAGCGGAGGGGGGAATTACAGTGAATTATAAGCGATTTCGAGGTTGAGAACCATAGATATGGGGTACAAAGAAGCGGAACTAATAAATTGGCAAAATAATATTATTAATCCGCATACAGGAAAAAGAGGCTAAAACAGCACCTGGACATGGACGGCTGGTGCCTCTATAAATAAATCATTGTTTGTCAGGTCAGGTCATTATAACGCACACAATTAACAATAACTATTTTAATAGTAATACTTCGAACCAATTAAAAGAATATGCCGTCATTTGGATACTTTTCAGTATAAGAATAGAGGCGAACATATCTATCATGTTTTCAAGAGTGAAATTTGTAAAACAGTTTTTACTAGACCCGTCTCTGTTTCTTGTCTGGCCTTTTATTTTCATCCTTTATAATATGTCTACAAACTATGTAGGAAAACTGTGTTAAGCTGTTTGATTATTAATTGTCCTCAGGCAAACCATGCCTTTGACGTAATAAACTGCAATGCGCGACAGCTTAGTACAATGTGTCAGAGTAAAAAGGGAATCAAACAATGTTCCTAGCCAATTATCATCTCATAACAAGAACACCTTTTCACAAAATAGTTTGTCTCAACCAATCAATAGTGCCTTTCCTTTCTTTCATTTTCAGTGTCGAAGTGCACGTGTAAAGAATGAAACAGTTATTTTCTCTCTCCTGATGAATATAAGCTTGTGAGCTTGTGCTTAGGTGACCGACGTTATATCTTTTGACCTTTTTTCTTACTTGAAGTAACTTCCATCTATTATTGAATTTGAAAATATACAACATGAATGTTCTTTTTAACCTGGAGATATATCTTGAAAGAAAAAAAACAACAAGCAAGGCTAAAACCAGTGGATGGCCTGCACATTTCAGTTTCTTCGCTTAGCGTCGGCATTTCAGCCTAATATAAAAGAATATTAAAACAAAATCGTTTTGGGTCCAAATCATGTTTGGGCAAACTCTTCACTTCCTGAATTCGAACGAGAAAAAAATAATCGTATCATTCTGTGCTCCAGTCCTGTAATCATTATTGTAAATAATCTACGGTCTCATCGACACAACTAGGATAGTATTTAGCATTCGAACTGTTTCGACTCTGCTAGTCAGGGCCAATATGCGTCACTTGAGATGCAGCATTCCTGCAACATGACGAACATACAAAATATTGTTAAAAATAAAAAATAAAAAATTTTTTAATTCTCACTGAACAGATGACTTTTTTTTACAAGTAACAAAGAAATGACGAAGGTTCTAAACATATGTTCTAAAAATTGTACTTCATTGTAAAAACGAAGCAGTGCTCAACCCTCCGAAAATAAAACTTATGCAAACATGATAATGTACGAATATCGTGCTTTGGGCTTTCTGAGAATAAAAATCAACTAGCAAAAGAACTTCAATTGTTTTTTTAAACGAAGATCGGCACGGAAAAGAAATTCATTATTATAAGACAAGGTAACTGAAAATGAATGAACATATTTTGAGACAAACGCGTTCAGTTTTCTAGCAACGTTATGGAATGAGTCAATGACAATTGGAAATAGGATAGAACTTTCGTTTATTTATTTTTTTAAAAGAGTGAACCGATTTTGTGACGCATGACTTCAGTTCTCAAGCATTCTTCTGGAATAAATCAGTGAACATTTGAAAGAGGTGTTACTTAAATTTTGAACATTTGCGCCCCATCAATATAGGAATATGTAAATGTCGTGTTTATGTTCCAACGTTGCCCATTACCATTACCCATTAACATCGAATAACAACTTTGATCAACTCAGTGAGCCTTGATATGCTGAAACGCGTCTGGGATAAATTCCCTTAGTGCCCTGATGCTGCCCACGCTGCTGGTTGTGGATACATTGAACACTTGTAAGGGAAGATATAACAGTTGATGTGAGTAAATACTATCGACTTAGCTTGAGTTTTATATTGCTTTTCTTGATTAAGATATTGGTCTATGAAATCGGTTCATTCTCTTTTGTTCACCCTCTGCTTTGTCGTTCCTGTGAATGAAGATCGATACGAGAAAGAAATGTAATGTTATGTTTGTGCTTTCTGCAACGCACTTCAAAATGCATTATTTGTTTTTCTTTTACAAAATTCAAAGTTACACATTGCGTTTTCTGTACCAAATTCAATGTTACACTTGTGTTTTCTGTATCAAAACCCATTGTTCCCCTTTGTGTTTTATATAAACCAATTCAGTGTTAAAAAATAATTCAGTGAAACATTTTTTGTTTTATTCTTTTAGAAATACTCTAGATCTAAGTTTCCTGTAAAGAAAATACAACGCTACACTTAAGGTTTCCAATGAACGAAGATTAACACACAAATGAAATTCAATGTATATTTAATGTAGCACAACTAATGTAAATGTAGACGTATTGGTTAAATAATTAGTTTTTAGCAACCATTCAAAGGAGGGAGAGCGCATCTCTTAGAGATAAATTTAGAGCCATCAAAGATAAATAATTGTGTCTCAAGTTTAAAAAAAACATTATAAAAAAAATTAATGTGGGTGAAATAATAGTGATGCTTTGTCAAGTAGTTAATAAACTAATTAATTACAATGATCGCTTGGGTTTTTCTCCACCGACACGCCCCCCCACCCCCCAAACCACCACA